GCTCCTTGGGGATACCCAAAAATACCTGTTCAATAGAAAAAAAAAGCCCTAAAAAAAGCAATGGAGCAGAGCTGTACTTGGCAGAGTTTCTAGGGGTACTTTTCAGAGGGCTCTTAGATCAAAAGTTGGTCTTTAGAGACAACTTTGTGTGTGTCTGCCCCTCATTTATGCAGTTCAGGAGGTTCTTCTTTCAGAACTGACCTCCCTTGTCCACTGCTTCTTGTGCTGCTAATGTATGTTCGCATCTGTTCAGGGTCAAGAACTTCTCGTCTTACTGGTCCACCATGGGTGGACTGTCCTGTCCAGCAACACTTGGTGGGAATGTGGCACTGAGCCCCCTTGTACTGTCATCACCTGGGAGTTCAGTGTTCTCTGGTAGCTTGCGCACTTGCCTGCTGGCTGCTCGTTGCTGCTGCTCCTTCAGCTCACTGTAGGAACGGGAAAAGGTATGAAAGATGGATGTGACTGGGAAAGCCATCAGCAAAATCCCACTTAAGATACTGCTCAGGGCTACCACCTGTCCAGGGATGCTACGAGGCACCATGTCCCCGTAGCCAACAGTTGTCATGGAGATCACAGCCCACCAGTAACTGGTGGGGACGCTGGTGAATTCTTGCTTGGCTCCCAGTTCACTTTCAGCCAAGTACACCAGCGGTGAGAAGAGGGCCATGGCGACACAAAGGAAGAGCAGGAGGAGGCCGAACTCCCTGGTGCAGCGGCGCACGGTGAGCCCCAGCGTCTGCAGCCCCAGCGAGTGCCGCGCCAGCCTCATCACATACAGGATGCGCAGAGCCCGCAGGAAGCGCAGCACCAGGCCCACTTTCTCCAGGTACTTGTTCCCAGATCCCCCGCCAGGCTTGCTGCTGTTTTTTGTGGAGACCGTATCCACAATGAGAGAAATATAGAAAGGCAGAATGGCCAGGATGTCGATGATGTTGAGCGGAGTTTTCAGGAAAGCACACTTGTTCTCTGCCTGAATGGATCGCAGCAGGAACTCAAATGAAAACCATGCCACACACACCGTCTCCAGCACAAAGATGTCATAGCACTTCCGTGCGCATTCACCCTGGGGAGAAGAGGAGCGGGGAACACATAAAAGGGGAGAGAAAGAGATTTAGCCAGGGAATGAACCAAAGAAACAGAGAGTGGCAGTTCTTAAAAGTACCACGTGAAATTGATAGGAATTGTGACGTAAAATCATGGCTGCTGAGAGCAGTTGGAAAGGATAACTAAAACCAGAGGTACTAGCTACATGTTTGGCTGCAGGACAGGTCAACAATGCTCTGGAGTATCCCAAGGCTGCCAAGAATCTGGTGTGATGTTATCAGCTGTGAGCCAGACAGCCCACTGCTAAAAGGCCAGTGGCTCATGCTTCATTTCTAACCAAACGTTTAACACCCTTTAGAAAGGATTAGTACAGGATTCATGGATTGTAATAAATGTGCAATTCCTCCTTCCCTTCCTGATCAATAATAAATTGCTTATAAATGGCTCATAAGCACCTACAGCATTTTAAGTTATATGCTTGGAGTTATCTATATTATTCACTGAATATAGAACATATTTTATATTCCAGTGAGCATTTGTTAACAGACTAGCCCTACAGTCAAAAGCTTATATAAAGTACTGATAAATTAAGGTATTTCTAGAAGAAAAAATACCACAAAATAGAGGGGAGGTCCAGAGAGATAAGTATTTTTAGTTACCTCACCTGTAACAACCAGTGGCCACAATGCCTTCCTCAAGCTTTCTGAGGCACTGGAAGTGGTGCTCTTCCCTGCAGGCTTGCTTAGTGGCAAATAAAGAGAACTCTAGCTCTTTAGTTATGATGTCTGTAAACAAGCCAGCCTTGGTGCATTGGAACAGCAATAAACAACAATGCTGATGATGGCTGCTCTTCAGTTATTAATTCAACAACACAAATACTATGACAATTCTCTGCTACATCACTGTTGGTAACTCCAGCTGAATAATAATCAGCTTCTCTCAATTTTGAGAGATTTTGATGTGGACAGTTATAGGTCTAGTGCTGTTTTCTCTGTTAAATGCTCATATAAACGTGTGAATGCTCTGGGTGCTTTGTGTGGAAGGCAAGTGTATATTTATTTAAGGGAAGTGTATATTTATTCAGTGTGCCAGTCTGACTCTGAACAGTTTGTGAAAACTCCTGTAAGCATGTAGGAGTCCATCCATGCTGGTGGGGTGTGTGACTCCCACTGGATGCAACAGGTATTAGGTCCCAATGTCCAACCTCATTTTACTTGCCTATGCTAAATTATAGCAATAAAACATCATTCAAGAGTGGTGAGGCTGTGTCAAGCTGGTCCCCGTTTCACCACTGAAGAAGCTGGGAACCTGGCACATCTATTAACAGTTCTGCCCACATGCTCACCACAGGTGTCGTTTGCTACACAAAGCCAAGAAAATTTTTACTGCGCAGCCCCACATCCTAACTTCATCCCTCTCTCAGTGTGTATGCACAGGTTTTTCCCTTTTGGGAAAGAAAACATCAAAAGAGTGCTAAGACATTTGCCCTCTTTGCTAACTGCAGCATTCCCCAAAATGTTGTGGAGTGACTGGATACGTTTCAAGGGCTGCTGCACCGCCAGCAGCAAGACCAGTGTCATCACACTGAATATAAAGCCGTGTGTTACCTCAATATGATAACCCAAATGCCAGGGCACCCTGCACATTCTACACTTAAGAAGAGATTGAGACAGCAATCAAGGAGATGTCAACAGGAAAAACAGATGTGGAAAGGAATCCTCAGAGCCAGCATTTATGGTTCTTGTATTAACCATGATGGGGCCCCTGGTGGTCTAGTGGTTAGGGTGCAGGACTCTTACCGCTGTGACCCGGGTTCGATTCCCAGCCCCCCGGGCAGATGGAGCTCATCAGCCCTGCAAGGCAATCCATCTAAGAGAAGGTCACTCTAAACAAACCTACATCCTGGGGACCTCACTGCCATTGTCCAAGTTTACTTGGCCCCGGCAGATGAACCTCAGGATTAAAGGGTGGGCTCAGTTCAGCGCACACTG